ATGGGCCAGCCCGCCCGCGCCGCCGCGCCCCTGCAGCGGGCGGCGGAGCTGCTGGGGGCCGCCCGGCTGCCGCTGCAGGCCCTGCGCTGCCTGGCCGAGCGCGCGTCCTGCCTTCTGCTCGCCCGCGACTACGCCGGGGCGCTGGCGGCGCTGACGCGGGCACAGGCGCTGGCCGGGGCCGGGCTCGGCGGGGCGGGGGCCGGGGCGGCTCCTGGAGGTGCCTTCCTGGACGTGCTGGCGCGCTGCGAGGTGTCGCGGGTGCTGCTGTTGCTGCTGCTGCAGCCGCCGCCGGCCAAGCTGCTGCCCGAACACGCCCGCACGCTGGAGCAGTACTGCTGGGAGGCGCCCGACGGCGGGGCGAGCACCACCGGCGGGGCGGGTGGCCCCGGGGCGGGCGGGCTGCCGCCGGCCGCCAGCTACCTGCCAGCAGAGCTGTTCCTGCTGCTGCAGTCGGCCGTGCTGGCGTGCCAGGAGAAGGACGTGGAGGCGCTGAAGGCACTGCAGGCAGAGCTGTGGCCGCTGCTGAGCGCCGAGCAGAACCACCTACTGCACCTGGTGCTGCAGGAGATGCTGAGCCCTGCCGGGCAGGGGCTCTGAGCGCCCGCAGGGACTGCTCGGACTGGTCACTTCAACACAGACTGTCCCGCTATTTATTTTTAATACCGACTCTGTAACGCACTCAAGCCATGGTTGATGAGCAGATGTGTTCACCTTGTGTCATAGTAAACTGCTCACTGTATGTACTGGATGTTGTCCTGCTTGGAAAAAGTGTAATCCCGAAGCGGAAGGGCCGGTTCGGGGCAGAACAAGGCTGTGCATTAAAGGACTGGCTGCAGTTAGTGTGTGTTGGAGGATTTGGGCATCTGGGGATCAAATGTTGCTGGAGTTGTTTTTTTAAAGAAAATGAAAGAGCCCACACAAAACACAAACAAACAAAACCCCAACAAAAACACAGAAAAAGGAGATTTTAATTTTTTTCCCCTCCTGAAAACGAGAGACGCTGCAGCCAACACGAGGCTGTGCATTTTCTGGTGGGTGAAGGGTGTTGGTCACTGACCTGCAAGTCTGGGGACTGATAGTGGTGGCCTGACCTCAGTCTCTGTGTAACAGCTGGTAACCCAAAGAACTGAGCCTGCACAGTGGCAACTCCACTACAGTTGAGGGAATTTGAGAATTAAAGTAGTGGTGGAGGGCGAAAAGGATGAATGGACTGCTAGCTTATTTCTTTTCTGCTGCTGTCTCTGTCTGCCGGGGAAACAAAGTAAAAATCTGTGTGGCAAAAAGTACATAGGAACAGCACAAGTCGTGTGAGTCCTATGAGGAGAGGCTGTGGGAGCTGGGGTTGTTTAGTCTGGAGAAGAGGAGGCTCAGGGGAGACCTCATCACTCTACAACTCCCTGTAAGGAGGTTGTAGCCAGGTAGGGGTTGGTCTCTTCTCCTAGGCAGCTGTCAGTAAAACAAGAGGGCACTGTCTTAAGCCCTGCCAGGGGAGGTTTAGGTTGAATATTAGGAAAAAAAATTTTTTACAGAGAGCGTGATCAGACACTGGAATGCGCTGCCCAGGGAGGGGGTGGACTCACCGTCCCTGGAGGTTTTTAAGATGAGACTGGATGTGACACTTAGTGCCATCATCTGGTAGCCAGGGCGGTGTTGGATCAAGGGTTGGACTTATCGGTCTCGGAGGTCTTTTCCAACACGGTTGATTCTATGACCTTTTTAAATTCAGACAGACGAAACTGTTACTAGAATTGTATCTAGTTGAGTAGCAGTGGTGAATGGGAGGAGCGGGGGCGCCAGGCGGGGATGCTCCTGCCGGGCGGGGATGCTCCTCCCCGCCGGGGCGGTGGAAGGGGCGCGGCGAGGGCCGGTGACGCGGGGCCGGTGACGCGGGGCCGGTGACGCGGGGCCGGTGACGCGGGGCCGGTGACGCGGGGCCGTCGGGACGGGGCGGCCGTTCCGGTGCGTGCGGCGGGGACACCACGCGGCCATGGCGGACGGGGACGGTGCGCAGCGGTGGGGAGCGGCGGGGGGCTCCGGGCGGACACGGGGGGGAAGGGTCTGCGGGCGGTTTTGCCCCCCTCCCCGCGCCGTTCTCCCTTTCCCCTCCCGGGCCTGCCCCGCTCCCCGCGCTCACTCCCGGCGTGTCGCTCCCGCAGGTTCCAGCGTGAAGAAGAAGAGGAAGAAGGAGAAGCGGGTGCTCGCCGACGAGGATGTTGCGGTGAGCGGCGGGGGTCTGCCCGGGCCGGGTTTGGGATGGTGGGGGGGCTCCCCCAGACCCATCCGTGGGGACGCGGTGGGATGGTTGATGGGGAGGGTGGGTAGGGATGGGATGGGTTTCTCCCGCGCCGTTCCCGCAGGGAGCGCGGCCGCCCCACGTGGATGCGGCAGCGGAGCCTCCCGGGCCACGTGGAGCGGGCGCGTGGAGGCGGCGGGAGCGCGGCCCGCCGGCTTTTCCCGCTCTGATCCCGGTGAACTCCTCTCCCCCGCAGGACATCCAGCACACGGAGGACTTTCTCATCAAGCCCGAGTCCCGGGTGCCCCAGCTGGACACGTCGCAGTGGCCCTTGCTGCTAAAGGTACGGCGGGTTCTGCTCGACCTCGTGGTCCGTCCCTGCTCCCGCTCCTTTTGTCCTCTGCCCGTGGAAGTGCACTGCGGCTTTGTGTAACCCCACTGCATGCAGAAATCGTGTTATCGAGTCTGACCAGCAGTATCATTTTCATCCCTGATGTATAAGTGTACCGTGTCCGATTTCTTGAGCTTTTTGTTTGGGTCTGGCCATAGCTTGTGATGTGTATAGACTCCCAAGTTGCTTGTGCTGAGTTTCTGGGGCATACTGGATTTATCCTCTGCTGTAAAGATGTGTGTTCTGTTGCTTTCCCATCCATTTCAGTGCAAGATTTGTATGTTTCTTTTTCTGTGAAACATTGTGGTTTCATTGTTGGGTGTGTTTGATTTTGGAAGTGGCCCTGACATTTAGAAATCAGATCTTGTGTAGCTGGGGGAGATGCATTGTAGGAAAGCAATGCTGAAACCAGGGTGAGCTCAAGAAGATTTGTAATTTCTGCTTCTGCTTGGATTTTGTAGAGCTTTGACAAGTTAAATGTGAGGACAGCACACTACACACCTCTTCCTTCCGGTGCTAATCCTCTGAAGAGAGAGATTTCTGATTATGTTAGGTGAGTGCAGTAAGGGCCAGAGTGGTTTATTTTTCTTTCACAGGTAATACCTTAACACCATTTTCTGTCTGGGTTTCCCTTGTACCTTTCTGCTTGACTCAGGGCCTTGCCAGTGATCGGTGAACATCTAATGTAAAGTTTGCTTTTTTTCTGGGACTGTGGCTAGTCTGTGGATGAACATGCAAACGCCTGAGGAACTCTCTGGGGTCTTTGGAAAAGTCCTTTGGCCTGCTAGGCTTTGAGACTGCTTGGAGTTTGGTTTCCTTTAAGTACAGAGCAGTCAGGGGAGAAGAGAACTCCTTGACCGTGGAGTATATCAACTGTTGTGCACGGAGCAGCTCAGTGTGTGCACTCTTGCTGTGTTTGCCCCAATGCTTAGCCCCTGCTCTCTACCATCTTACACTACAGGTCTGGCTTTATTAACCTCGACAAACCTTCCAATCCATCCTCTCATGAGGTGGTTGCGTGGATCCGGCGCATCCTCCGAGTGGAGAAGACCGGACACAGTGGCACTCTGGATCCTAAGGTGACTGGGTGCCTCATTGTGTGCATTGAGAGGGCAACACGCCTGGTCAAATCTCAGCAGAACGCAGGTATGTTTGTTGCCCAGGCCATTTACAGTGACTGGGGACGTGTGAAGTGCTTTTGGAGACAAAGTGGAGATTTCCAGTACTGAAAGGGCCAATCTTGGCCTTCAGTGCCTTGAACTTCAAGGGTTGCATGTCATTCTGAGCCACTGAGGACACATCCATGCTGTCACAAGTGATTTTTGGTTGCTTCTCTGGGACATGTACTGTTTTAAGTCAGTGAAAACACTTCTGACAAGGTTTTATGTGCTAGTTGAACTTACAGCCTTAGCCTCTTACCAGTCCAGTGAAATAAAAATTGGTGAAGAAATAAATGTAGCTTAGGTTTATTTCCCTGGAAGAATAACTGGCTCCAGAATAAACTGTGCATGCTTCCTAGGAGAGGTGGTAGTTAAGATTTCAGGGCCCTAGGAACATGTGGCTTTGAGGGAGTGTGGACCTGGAGGTCAACATTAAATGCAAGTGGCCACTCCTGACTGCTCTTGTCATTCTTTCAGGCAAAGAGTATGTGGGAATTGTTCGGCTGCACAATGCAATTGAGAGTGAGGCTCAGCTGGCCAGGGTAAGTCTCCCGTGCTCTCAGCCATGCTGACACCTGGCATGCAAAGCGTTGGGCACTGGTGGGAGATGAGGGGTCAAAAATGGAGCTCAGGTGTGCTGTGTGTGTGAGGTGATGACGCAGTTTATCCATTCTCTGAGTGCAGTGGTGCTGCCCTCCTGCAGCACCCCGGTTCCTGTTCTAGGGTCTGGGTGCTGCGCAGCCTCCAGACATCCTGCAGTCTCCCAGTGTCCTGCTGGGGGCTGCTGTGATGTGTGGCTGGCTGCCTGCAGGAGGGGAGCAGTGCTGGCAGGGCTGGAGCCCCTCTCTGGGGGGCTCCATCCTCACTGGGACGAGTGATGGTGTCTGATCACACGCTGCCACCTGATGGGAAAAGCCTGGCTGTGCTCACTGGCAGCTGGGGTGGCATCCTGACCACATCACAGGTTTGGATTGGCTTTATGAAATATGACATCACCAAATTATGTGTTTTCTTACTCATGGGAATGGTCATGGTTGCTGGAGACTCCAAGGTGCTCCTACCTTTGGGCACAGGTGTGAGCTATTGCTTCTCCTTCCTCCCTCAGGCAGTAGAAACTCTGACAGGCGCGTTGTTTCAGCGACCACCCCTCATTGCTGCTGTCAAACGACAACTGAGAGTCAGAACCATCTATGAGAGCAAGCTGGTGGAGTATGATCCTGAGAGAAGATTAGGTAAAACAGGGCTTTCCTGCCTTCTTCCTCTTAAGCCGGCAGCTGATAAAATTTTCTGGGAAATGGGCTGCTTTGTCTTCTTGGCAGATGTCTTAAGACCTAAATTCTCCCCACTGTCAAGCAGTAAGTGCTTCATACGTTGTTTTTGTGTGCTGAGAAGCAAATCCCATCTGTTTCTTGTACTGCTGCATCCTTCATGGAAGAGCCAAATGATGTCAATTAGATGACACTAGCTCTCAGGGCAAAGATGACCTTCATCTATCACCCCATTCTGATGGCTCTGTGAAGGATTGGAAATACGGCTTCTCTTAAAGGATGTGATTCATTTCTATGGTTCATTTCTAGATGACAGCTTTAAATACTCCTCTGTCATCCATTCCAGGTATCTTCTGGGTGAGCTGTGAAGCAGGCACGTACATCAGGACTCTGTGTGTCCACCTGGGGTTGCTGCTGGGTGTGGGGGGCCAGATGCAAGAGCTCCGCAGAGTCCGCTCGGGCATCCTGGGAGAGAAGGTAGAGTGGCAGCTCTCACTGTAACTAGCCCCCTTGAAATGGTCGGAATTGCGAAGGATTTCTTGGAACTGTGTGAGTTTTACTGTTAGGAGAAGGTTTAGGCACGTGGCTGCCGGGAGGAGTTTTGTGAATAGCCCCCGAAAAGTGGGAGCTCTTTCTTGTAGGTTGTCTGTAACCAAAGTGTTGAGTTCAGTTCAGGATGTTGCTCCTGTTCTGGTAATTAAACTTTGGGACAGCGAGTGACTGGGAAGTGCACCGTGGTGACTGAAGATTTGTTTTATGTCACCTGTGTTTCTCAGCCTACAAACCACACATTCCACAAGTTCAGGAGTGTGAGCTGTCAGCTTGGCATTGGCACAGCCCAGGGAATGTGTTCCATTGGAATGAGCCTGGGAGATGCAGCCTCACGTGATTTTGAATGCTTGTACAGTCTTTTCAGTCAGATCATAGATGGATCCTCCAGAGCTAATTTCTCTCTTTGCAAAGCTGCAGTATAAAAATGGAAGTGCTTCTCCACCTCTCTGTGCTCTTAGCACAGCTGTAATCACTGGCAGTCATTTCTGAATTCTAGGTGTTGGGTGCTTACAGCTGCTTCCAAGATTTATTCCATGTCACAGCTGGAAGAGCTGGTTAATTTAGACTGTCTAGAAGTCCCAGGAAGTTACGTTAGGTCGTATTTTAGTTTCCTGTGGACAGACCTTGTACACTAGATCCAAGTACTGTCTGAGATTAGGAAGGTTGAAGTCTGGTAGCCCAAGTCAGGCTACCCTCAAGCTCCAGATGGAAAGTATTCTTGCTTCTTTCAGAATGCATTTTAATGCTTGAGTTGGGCATTTGTTGTTCACTCCCTTCAGCACGTTTGCTGTTGGACTTTAGCTGCTTTTTTGTGTGTGTGTGTTGGTGTTTCAAGTTGGTGGCTGGTGAGAGAGTTTAGAGGGGTCGTGTCTTTGCAGGACAACATGGTGACCATGCACGACGTGCTGGATGCACAGTGGCAGTACGACAACAACAAGGATGAGAGCTACCTGAGGAGAGTCATCCTGCCCCTGGAGAAGCTGCTGACTTCACACAAGAGGCTCGTCATGAAAGACAGTGCAGTGAGTTCCTGAGGCAGGGCCAGCTGACAGTGCACAGCGTCCTCCTGACTTGTACAGCTTTAATATGGGGAACCAGGAGCCGTGTGACGTCCAATGCTGTCCTGATTGTGACTTGTGTAGAACCCAGTGAGAGCCACTGCCAGATCAGCAGTGAGATGCAAGAGCCAAGAATTAAGTGACAGAATCTGCTCTCCTCACTTGAGGAGGATGCTGATGGTTATGAGAGATCTGCCTCACCCACTGATAGATGCTTTGCTGTCTTCTTCCAAAGCCCCCAAGTTTTACGTAGCGGACAAAAATAGTTAGGGGTATTATTGCTGGCATGGTAATGGCAATGGGAAGCTAAAAATTAGAGGCACTCGTTACCTTGTTTTTACTTTTCTAAGAGCTATAAGCCCTCCTGTTCTCTACATTTTCAGGTTAATGCCATTTGCTATGGAGCCAAGATCATGCTGCCTGGTGTTCTGAGGTATGAAGATGGTATTGAGCTTAATCAGGAGATTGTTGTCATCACCACGAAAGGAGAAGCTATCTGCCTAGGTATGAAACTCCTCATTCTTCTTGTGCCCAGCTAACTGCAGAAATACCAGGCTGTGATACAGTGAATGAGTCCCCATGCAGAGAAGGTTTAATGAGTGCTTCCTAATGGGGACTGTGGGCCCAAGGCACTTGGTGTTGGCACAGTCAGTCCTGGGCAGGCTGTGAAGGGTTCATGAGCTGTGTGTGGTGCTCAGGTGTGCTGTGTGTGTGAGGTGATGACGCAGTTTATCCATTCTCTGAGTGCAGTGGTGCTGCCCTCCTGCAGCACCCCGGTTCCTGTTCTAGGGTCTGGGTGCTGCACAGCCTCCAGACATCCTGCAGTCTCCCAGTGTCCTGCTGGGGGCTTCTGTGATGTGTGGCTGGCTGCCTGCAGGAGGGGAGCTGTGCTGGCAGGGCTGGAGCCCCTCTCTGGGGGGCTCCATCCTCACTGGGACGAGGGATCGTGTCTGATCACACGCTGCCACCTGGCACATCACAGTTCCTGAGCAGATCAGTGCAAAGGGACTCAAGCAACTGCCACCTTTTGTGCAGTGACTTCAAAGGGTGCCCTTTAAAGGGCCTTCAGAGAAGCTGTGTAGGTGACAGGTGCTGACACGCAGTGAGGGTGCTCAGTGCTGCATGGCCCCATGTTCTGTCCAGACCCATGGGATTGAGGAGCCTTGGGAGCTCTAACACAGCCAGGCCATTCAACCCTGCTCTTTGTACTGCCTGCACTCTGGTCATCCTGGGGTCCTGGGGAGAAAAACATAAATTATTGGTAGGATTAGTCTTCTCTAGCTTGGTTCTGCAAGACTTTGGGAGCTGGCAAAGAGCAGCTCTGTTCCTTCCTGTGGTGGTGTGGTTCCTTGAGATGCCTGGGAGTGGTGTTGTTAATCCATGGCTGGCACACTTGCTGCCTTTGAGCAGGGCAGCTCGTGGAAGTGTTAGTCCAGAACCTGCTTCCAGTGAGTCTTTGGGGTGAGACAGCCCTGGTGGGGGGTGTTGGTCCTCTTTGTGCTGATAGTCTTGCTATTAAAGAGTTAATGGGCTCCCTGCCTGCTTCTGCAGCCATTGCCTTGATGACCACAGCAGTCATTTCTACCTGTGACCATGGCATCGTGGCAAAGATCAAGAGAGTGATCATGGAGAGAGACACATATCCCCGAAAATGGGGTCTGGGCCCCAAGGTGAGTGATGTGGGGGTGCAGTCTGTCCCAGTGCAGTGGTGGGAGCCCAACTGGTGGGATGTGGGACTCTGTGGTCCCCCTTGGGCAGAGCTGTGCCTGTGTCTTCTTCAGGGATTTCCTGTAATTCTGCAGCCTTCTGGAGCCATGGGGGTGGCACTTCCTGGTGCCAGGGAGTGATGGGAGCAAGGCTTTCCCTCCCAACAGAGCCTGGGCAGTTTTGCTCCAGGCCCAGCTGGGACCACTGTAGGTGTTAAGGAATGGGCTTCTTGGGTCTGTACAGCACCAACCCTCCTCTGGTAAAGAGCCAAATGATGTGAAGTGGTTGACATTAGCACTCTGTGCAAAGATGACCCTCATCTATCACCCCATGCTGATGGCTCTGGAGGGGCTGGGCAAGGAGCAGCTGCTTTTCCTTTTGGTGCAGCTGCAACACTGTTTAAATGCAAACTGTCTTGTGAGACACTAAATTGTGCCTGAAGAACAGGAAGGATGGGAACATCCATTGGCTCCTTATTTACTAATGAAGATGCCTCTGGTCTGAGATTTAGGCTGCTGTGCAGGGCATGTTTTGTGTGATTTACTAGAAGGTCCTTGGAAAAGCATTAAGCACACGGTAGTTGTTGGCTTGGCTTGTTCCTGGATTACCTCCTCTTAGGCTGAGTGGCTGAAGCCCCAGGAGGGAATCTTTCTTACCTGGAGCTGCAGTTTGACTTGTTACACTTCGCTCTCAGGCCAGTCAGAAGAAGATGATGATCCAGAAGGGTCTTCTGGACAAGCATGGAAAGCCCAACGAGAGCACACCAGATTCCTGGAAGAAGGAGTATGTGGATTACAGGTGGGTACAGGGTTTGTGGCTTCCTCGTGGTGTTCAGAGGGGAGCACTGTGCAACAAGGGCAGGGTTGGGTGCTGCTGTTTGATGGTGGGACACGTTAGGCTTGGCCCAGGGCTGTTGGCTGTCCCGACCTGTGTGGTGCAGTTGCATTTCTTGCAGATGTTGGGCAGTGTTGGAAGGAAAGTGCCCGAGCAGACAGTTATCCCTTTTTAGCCTGTCTTGTGGTTCTAGAGGGAGTCAGTCTGCTAAATTAATGGGAAAGGCCTTGCTGTTGCCCAGCCCAGCTGGCCCTGGTGCAGGCTGCAGGTCTTCCCCACACCCACTTCCCCACCCAGCTCCTGGGGTGGGTTGTGGAGCCCTTGTGAGGGGAACAGGGGTTTGTATGTGTGCAGAGCAGTGTGAGGCAGCAACTGTCCTGCTCAACCTGGGCATCTCTCCTTTCAGGGATTCTTCCAAGAAAGAAGCAGCTGCTGATCACCAACCTGTGTCAGAGCTGGAGAGGGCTTCAAAAGTGAGTATCATTAGTACTCTCTGGCTGTAGCATTTTTGGGCCCTGATGAAGAATGGATATGCACCACTTCCTTTAGGCAGCTTGTATTGGGTGATGGATTGTGTGCTGCTTGTTTCACAGGGTGTTCCATGTTGTGGGAGCCTAGACCCTCCACATATGCAGTGGCCCACAAGCTGGCTGTAAGGTGACCTGCTGAAGGCCTTACCCTCCCTGGGTATTTGTCTCTGGGATTCTGTGCTTTGAGTGCAGAGAACCTTCTTGGAGATGACAGTTGCAGAAAGGTCCATGCATCTAAAATTCCCTAAGTCAGGGCTTTTGCATGCCTCTGAAAAGGTGAAGTAGTGTTTTACATGAATATTTGGGATACAGGAAACCTTGAGAAGTACAGGGTGCAATACTGGCAGAAGCAAATCCTGGACAGCATATGCTGGAGGGGCCACTGACAGTCTGCAGGTCACCCTGCCTGCCCAAAGCATTGTTAACTGAAGCTGGATTGAATCAGGCAAAATACTGCAGTGGGCTTGCAAACAGTTTTCCCCTCGCCTGAGCTCTGTTGGAAGGTGTTGGTGTGTCTGACAACGTGTCCCCCAACAGAGGAAGCGAGAGTCGGTGAGTGAAAGTGATGAAGCTGTGACCCCCCCGTCCCCTGCCACCCCTCCACCAGAGGAGCTGAGCAAAAAGGAAAAGAAAAAGAAGAAGAAAGAGAAGAAGGCCAAAGAGGCAGCCGAGAGTGGGGGAGAGCAAATAGAAGTGGTATGTAATGGGTGCTGCCATGGTGTGGTCCAAACGGGGGGGGAGGTTGCTGTGTGTCCCAGATACCTCCAAGATAAACATCTCAGCATCCTGCTGTGCATGTCCACAAAGTGCCAGGCTCCCAGAGCAGAGAAAGATGTTTTACAGAGGTGCATTTGTAGAATGAACTGGCTGTTGGGAGATAGGGCAGGTGAGGCTTGTGGGGGTAGATGTGCAGTGGGGCAGGGTTGGGGTGAGCAGCCCTGGGACAGTTGATGGGTTCCTGCCAGGCCACCTCTCTGCTCTGGTGCCCTGTCGTGGGCCCTGGGGGGAGGATGGTGCTGGCATTCAGTCTGTGCTTGAGTGCTTTTATGGTGGTGAGGGAGCATTGTGGCAATGGGGAGCCTGCAGTGCTTCTGGAGTGGGGCTGTTCCTCCTGAAATGAGCAGTGAGGGATTCCTTTTTGGTTTCTTCGTGACCTTTCCAACCTCTCCACAGACCAGTGAGACCAGCATCAAGAAGAAGAAGAAGAAGAAACAAAAGGAGGTCGAAGAGAGCTCGGAGTAAGCAACTGGATCTGTCCAAAGCAGGCAACCTCATCATTAAGGAAGGAGGAATCTGAGGCCTTGGGAAGAGGAGGACTGGCTGTGTTGGCAGAGGGGCCAGCAAGCTCCAAGTTCTTTTCTGCTGTGTATGAGTGAGCGGGTGTGTTTGCCCAGGATGTGCCCTGCTCAGGTGCCCCTCTTCATCCTGTTTTAAGGGTTGCCAGAGGAGTGGTGTGCCTGGCTGTCCCTGCTCTGGGTTGATCTCTAAAGCTGAGCACTGTGATGCCAGTAGAAGCGATATCTTCAGGGAAGCTGTAGCTTCTGGCTCTTACTTGGTGTCTGTTTTCACCTAGAGGGTGGAATAATCTTTCTCCCCCTTCTAGTACTGCCTCTTCCTTTTCTTCCAAGGCTGAAGCTGTTGCCTGACAGTTACATGAATGTATTGGTGCCTGGAGGACTGGCTTTGTCACAGCCCATCTGAATGGGTTTGGATGGGGACAGTCAGATCGGTTATTGAAAGGGCTCTGCTTTGTTTTTAACTTGGCCACATGCTTGGCTTGACCTACATGAATTCAAATAGTCCACCCAGATATTCTTCAATACCTTGTTTTTACCTTTTTCACAAAAGGTAAACGTTAAAACGTTTACTTCCTCCTTTTTGCTGTATTGCCCAGGGATATGCTTGTTGCTTGTCAGCTGATCCCCAAACCCAGTGCCCTTGCCAGGGTGTACCTGTTGCTGTCTCTTTGCTCCTCTCTACCCACTTGTTGGATTGGAACTGCAGGGCTTTGGGTTGCCTTTCCTGGTTTTGGTGCCCAGTGTGCTCTGAAGGCTAAAAGTGGGGATGTTGCTGGGGAACAGAGGGTGACCAGGGGGTGACTGGCCTGTGTGCTTTTCTAAAGGGCTGCTGGGACTGGAGTCCTTGTCAGGAAAAGCTTGGTCAGAGGCAGCTCTGCAAGGGGCATTGGGTGTTGGGCTTAAGCAGTTTCAGAAAGACTTTTCCTGATTTCCTTATATGGAATGGCTTACTGGGGGTCAAAGATCTCTCAGTCACAGGGGTAGTGTGCCAGGATTTTAGCTCCTTTTAAATGGGGAAGGATCCAGGCTGCTTTGTTCTGAGATTCATCCCCACAGAGATTCTGTGACTTTTAACCTCATTCATTGCTTTTATCTTAACTGTCTATCCTCCCCTCCATAGCTGGAGATAAATGCAAGCAGTGGGGACAGCAGCTGGTGGCTGTCAGAACCTGAGCAGAAAAAAAAATAAAAAAGGTCCATTTTTATGTCCTCTTTTTTACATAAAAAATAAAAGTCCTGTTTTTAACCGTGTGACTTTGTCACTCATCTGGCTCCTCTTAAGAGGTTAGTGGTCTGTTCATGGGGAGGGGAGGCAGCTTACCACGTGCAGAGAAATGGTCATGATGGTGTGGACCATCTCTACAGGGGTCTTGCCATTGCTTGGGACTTTGGAGGTGCCATGGGACCACCCTCCACTTTGGCAAAACTCACCTGGGGCACGTACCTGGAAGCTGGGTGTTCTCTCTGTTCCTTTGCCTGTGCTGCTGTGAAGCTGCTGGAGAGGTCTCATGGTGCCTGGAGGGACTGTTTGGTCCTGGCCTGCCTCATCTTGAGTGTGTTTTAGGGTCAGGGAGGTGGGAACAGAGCACCAGCCATGAGCAGGCGCCCAGCCTAAGAGGTAAAACACCAGCCATGGCAATGTTTCAGCGCACATTTATTGCTGCTCATTGTTTCCCTGCAGTGGATCAGAATGAAGGTCCCTATTGCACATAGATTTTATTTTTGGCATTCTTAAAAAAAAAAATTGCACAAGACTTTTTAACCACCTTCCGCTTGCCCCTATAGCTGACTGAACACACAAATGAGATTTTCACCTACATGATGGCTGTGGTTTGCCCAGGAGGCACAGTGATACTTCCCAGATGTGGTGTGGGGGGGCTGGTGCATCAGTGCACTCCTGCAGGAGGAACCCCATGGTGAGGATGGCTTTCATGTTTGCATACAGAGTGCAAGACACCCTACACTGGAAAACATGCCTGGATGATCTTTGTAGAGACTTTTCTACTGCATGCAACAGATACTTGTGGCTGGATGTAATTTACCCATTGAACAGTCCCTCTGGGGTTTGGTCTGTGGGACTTGCTCAGCTGCTGCTGAGTTTCTCTGGCCAGGCTGTAACAATCCAAGCTGCACGGTGAGAATTTCAATACAGTGAGTTTTTACACCTATGGTTGCACAGGGTGAATCAGAAAACCCCAACCTTGGAACACAGGGTGAAGCCTGCCTGGGGGTGGGTGCTCCATGCCACATCCATCAAATCCATGCCTGCCTTTTTCTACTCTTCCCTGTTTGTGAGAGGAAACCTTTGGCTGTAGGTGGTCTGTGTGAGGCCTCCTAAGCTGTGGGGCTTCCTTGAAGCCTCATGGACACCCGGCAGGGGTCTGGGTTGTTTGTGTGCATTCCTGCAATGTCAGAAGACATCTGCCTGGAAAACCCCTGTCCTGCCACTTCCCTTGGGACTGGTGCAGAGAAGATCAGGTGGGTGCTACAGCAGGACTGTGCTTTCCCTTGCCTGGTGAGGCAGGGAGCTGTGCTCTGAGCTAACAGGGTGCCCTGGGCTCTGCTGTAGCCACTGACTTACCCTGCAGTGCCATGGGAGGTGGCTGTCCCCCAGGCAGCCCCTGTCCTGCGTTCCTTCTCCCAGGAGAGGAGATGTGGGCACCCTCTGTGTGTGTGTGTGTCAACCAATTGAGACGATGTCCATGGAGCAGCAGAGGAAGGGAGTTGTGCTGGGCTGTGTGTGGACCGGGGGAAGCAGAGGAAGGTTCTCCCCATGGCTGCAGGATGGTTGATGGGAAGCAGATGGGGCTGGATGCCCTCTCAGTAGACCCAGGAGACAGGCACCCACTGTGGAGAGCTGCAGGCCTGCTCAAAGGCTTCCTGCAGCAGCTGGAGGCTTTCTTCCACCCCGTTGTTGACCAGGGAGAGGTCGAAGTAGTGTGCGTACCGGCTCCGGATGCTCTCCGAGTCCTTCCGGAGCTGCTGCAGAGCCTCGGACTGCAAGAAACAGGAGAGGAATTTCACAGCCCACCCCAGCCAGGAAACCTCACCAAAACAACTCCAGTGGTTGGGAAGTACCAGAGCACAGAGCATTGTTGCAGCTCGTCTGACAGGCCAGGATCTCTGAGTTTCTCTGGCTGGAGTCCCGTGCAACGGCTGGGAGCATCAGGTCACCTGCTGGAGCGAGGCCAGACCTGCTTGGTCTCCTGTTTACCTTTAAAACACTCTGTGGCAGCTGCCAGGGAGAATTCAGGAGCAGCAGGGTGCTCAGGGCTGGGCAGTGTAGCCAGCTCAAGGCCTCAGGCTGGGTTGGAGGCAGAATCCCTGCAGGATGTTCCCTTCCCACTGGCTTTTCACCAGAACAGCACCAGCTGGCAGAGCTTTACCAGCCTCTCTCTACTGTTTTTGGCTGGTTTTTTAGTGCTTTATTTTGATAGTAAAAGCAAAGCTGCCTGCCCCCTCCTGCCTGGATAGCAGGGGCATCCCAGGGGTGTATCCCTGCAGGCAGCTCTGCCCCCAACAATGAATTCCAGGCAATTTCTGCATATTTCCCTAATGGATCTTGAAAGGCAGGCAGCTTCTGTGCCTGGGGAGCAGGGGGAGAGCTTGGGGTGCAGTGCTCCTTGAGCTCTGCTGTGTGCAGATATTAATAGACCTAAACAGATATTATTAGATTATAATATTAATTATGACATATCTATTATATAATTGTATGCATTAATATATTAAATAGACCTAGACAGATATTAATAGACCTAAACATAATATTAGATTATATTACTAGTTACTATATCAAGTACATAATTATTATTAATAGATAAAAAGGACCTCAACAGATACTAATAGACCTAAATCAGACCAAGTCAATGTCTTTCCCTTTTCTGTTAGGCCACTTTGGTATGAATCACAGCACTGACACCTTTAGTGGTCAGCACTAAAACCATATTACAGATGTAATATTTGCAATACCACACCTTCCCTGAAGGCACAGCAGGTTTCTGTCTTTAAGGTGTTCAGTTCAACACTGACAAACTTTAAATGTAATTAACAATTACCCCAGGGGGGAAAAAAAAAGGAGATAACTGCTTAGCTACTTTCATCTTGAAAGAGTTACTGGAAATATTTATGTATTCTTAGAAAATTAATTTTTTCTATGTTATGGATGAAGCTGGCAGCTCTTGGGGGTGGAGAGGGGAGAGCAATGAGCAGTTTGCCTGGTCATGTGAGCTCTCCTGGGTCACATTAATGCTGCTGCATCCCTCTGGTAAGAGTGAGCTGAGCTGCAGGGTTATAAATAGTGCCTGGCAGCAGGGCTGGCCCTGCCTACTGCAGCAGGATGTAATTCCTCTGGCAGGAGGCAGCAGTGGGTGACAGCACGAGGTGGGGACAGCAGGCCCTCTCTGCTCTGAGACTTGCCCACCTTTCCCCCTTCCTGCTGCATCTGGCTGTGCAACCCTCTGCAAGTCGATGTGCCTCCAAATACCTGCACAGTACTTGTTCTGAAGGATGCTTAAACACCCTCCCTGCAACCTGTACCTTAAGCTTTAGGAATTCAGACTTAATAGGCTGGGATAGATGGCCTTGGCTGCCTGTGAGACCAGGAGGAGCACAGCTCTGGGTTTCCCATTGACCCATCACTTCCCACCTCCCTGCCAGGATGGGCAGGGTAGGCAGCACTGCTCCCTGCATCCAAGGGGCTTCCTGGGAAGTGGTAGCCTGTGACTCCCAGCCTCGTGCTTGGCACTGAGTGAGTTAACTGCGGTATCATTGTTGCTTTCATCCTAACGTTAAAGAGATCAGCATCTTAATGAGGCAAAGAATGAAAGCAGCCCTTGTTTGTGTGTCCATTTGCATAGCTGATGGCAGGATAAATCATCCTGCCCCTCGTGCTGGGCTGTGCTCCCCACCAAGTGTTAGAGGCTGATTATGCTGTAGGGGTGATGGTTGCTGGGGGGTGTCAGTCAGAGACAGGGAGTCTATAGCTGCAGGAATTCCTGTTTCTCAGGTCTGAGTTCTCCTGGACCACCAAAATCTAAGCAGACAGGAAGGATCTGATGTGGAGCAGGGAGAGCCCTGGGTTGCTGCAGCGGGCTTGTTTCCCCCTTGCCACGGGCTGGCAAGCTCAGCTGGAGGGGGACAGGAGGGGGACAGCCTTGGCACCCTCTGCCACTCACCTCCTCTGCCTTGTCTGTTGGGGCAATGAAGACAATGAACGGGGAGAGCTCGGCTGTGCGCACGATCTTGAGGGTCTGTGGAGAGAGGGGTGTAGTTACCAGGGTGTGCCCTTCCCCAGGGTGGGAGCAAGCACAGCCAAGGCTGCTGTCCCCCACTCCCCATGCTGCCCACACCAGCCTGGCTGTGGCCCTGCTGTCACAGCCAGGTGTGTGTCACAGCCAGTGAATGCCCTCTGTGGGAATGGAAATGCCACCCCAAGACTCGCTGGCTTTTTCCTTTGGGAAGGGCAGGTGGACAGTGCACCAGGGAAGGCAGGGATGGTCACAGCCAGCACAAAGGGAGTTCCATTTGTGGCAGCCCCTGTCCTGCCCCCTCCTTCCCCTGCTCCATACCTGGGGTTCAATGTCCAAAATAGCGACTTTGTCCTGCTGGTGGATCTTGTGCACTGTTTCAAACTTGGTGCCAAACATGTTTCCCTGGTAGCTTCCAAACTCCAAGAACTCATTGGCTGAGATGTCCCGGGTCATCTCCTCAGTGGAGACAAAGTAGTAGTCCTTCCCATCCACCTCATTCTTCTTCTGGGGGCGCGTGGTGTCTGGGGAGGGAGGGAGAGGTGAGTGCTGGCTGCCAGAAGGACTAGGGGACAGAGTGGAGCAGGCATGGAGGCCCTGCATACCTCAAGACTAGGCTGTACTAATCCCTTTTCAATACTTGGGACAAGAATGGAACTCAGCCAGCCCAAGGACAGACACTGAGATGAGAAGACTGACTGAGGTGTCTCAGCAGAGTGGGTGGCAGCAGCCCTGCAGTGCCTCATGTGGGGCCCCCTGACTTCAGGGGTTTAGTGGTGCTGGAGAAACATCTCCCACCTCCCATCTGCTGTCAGAAGGTCCTGGATCAAAGAGGTGAGAGGAAATGCATCCTGTGCTGTGCCCTGGGTACTTACATGCGGGTGGATACATGAACTTGTCCGGGTTGTTGCTGAGCAGAGCGTTCTTGATG